ATGCTGTCGTCAATCTGCTCCAGTATATTTTTCATCTCAGACATTGTAGTTTTCAACTCTAGAAATTTGAGGGTTGTTTCGTTTTAACATCTTCTATCTCTTTGCTTAACTTTTGGACTATCTGGGACGGAGTTATAATAGTTTTAATGTCCTTGTCTAGTAATTCTAATAGCTGGGTCAGTTCTGACTGACAGATTATTCTCCTTATTCTGGGTCATACTTTTCTGCTTTTTTGCATGCTTTTTAAAAAACCAGCTGCCAGATATTGTGAATTTTACCTTGTTGGGTGCTGCAGTTTTTATACTCATAAATATTCTTGAACTTTGTTATTATTTGGAAAGTGTTTGATTCTTTCAGGTATTGCTTCTTAGGATTTGAGAAATGGGACCATCTGTGCTCACTCTATTTTCCACTGCTGAGGCAAGACTTTTCTGAGTACTCTATCCCACGCCCCATGAATCATGAGGTTTTCCAGTTGGCCTGGTGGGAAGAGGCCACTGTTCCCAACCCCATGTGAGCGCTGGGCACTCTTCCCCCTAATTCTTTTGAGTGGCCCTTTCTTCTGCCTCAAGTAGTTTCTGCACACGCTTGGGCTGATCAGTACTCAGCCAAATACTCAAGGGGACCCTCTGCACATCTCTGGAGTTCTTCTCCTTTGCAATATTCTCTCCTCTCTAGAACTCTGTCCTGCAAACTCCATCTGCTTCATTTTCTCAGTATCAGCTGTTTCCTCAATTCAGTTTGTAGGGCTCCACTTGGGTTCCCTCTCCTGCATCATGTCTGGGAAACTCTTTCAGGGCAGTAAGCTTGGTGATCATAACCATGGGGCTCATCTCATCTTTCTCATCTTCAGGTTTCACTGCCTTTCAGTGGCTGGTGTCCAGTGTCTTGAAAACTATTGCTTCATGTATTGTCCACCGTTGGTTGTTTCAGGAAAGGAAGTAGATCTGGTCACTGTTACTTCATCTTGGCAGGAAGTGGAAGGCAGTAGTCCTCCTCCCCAACCTCCACTGGCATGTTCCTAATTGCATGTTTATAGTTTTAAATTTCTTTTCTTCTCCTATGTCCTCTAGGGCTCTGTATCGGCCAGAATTAAATCAAGGAAAGAGAACTACAATGGACATTACAAAGAATTTATTATAGGAACTAGATTTTACTTCAGTGGTTCTCTCAAAGTGTGGTCCCTAAACCAACAACATCAATTATCAGCATTACATTAGAGTTTGTTAGAAATGTAAATATCTAGGGGCGCCTGGGTGGCTCAGTTGGTTAAGCGACTGCCTTCGGCTCAGGTCATGATCCTGGAGTCCTGGGACCGAGTCCCGCATCGGGCTCCCTGCTCGGCGAGGAGCCTGCTTCTCCCTCTAACCCTCCCCCCTCTCATGTGCTCTCTCTCTCTCTCTCATTCTCACTCTCTCAAAGTAAATAAATAAATCTTAAAAAAAAAAAAAAAGAAATGTAAATATCTAGGCCCCAACACAGACCTACTGAATCAGAAGCTCTGAAGTCTGTGAGATTCAGTAAACTGGTGTTAATAAGCCCTCTAGGTGATTCAGATGCATGTTGAAGTTTGAGAGTCACTGCTTTACATAACTGGAGGAGAGACTGGGGGAGTAATGGTCCAGATGAGGGTGTTGGAAAAGCAGGGGAAAAATCACTTAAACACTACCAGGGGTGAACAAGTTAGTGCTTTGAGGGAAATCTGGGAGTGAGGCACATAGCTGCTGGAATAGGATCTCAGAGGGGACTGGAGTAGATGATTGAAGGCTGTTGTCTCTTCATAGCTACACTCTGTGAATTCATAGCCAAGTGGTCTGGCCCTAGGTCTGGGGTTGCTGTTGTTCAGCAGATCAACAATCAGGAAAAAGAGCTGGGCATGGAGCAAGAACAAAGATGCACAAGGAAAAAGAGCAAGAGGAAACTGGAAGTTTCTGGCACATTTCTGTCACCTCTGACCATGATGACCTTCAGATTGTTAATGCAAGCTGCTTTAGTCCTACCTCCCAAATTTTGTGCAAATTTTCTTTGGGCCAACTCTGATCCCTACCCAAACAGGGAAGGGGATTCTGGGAAATGTAGGTCTAGATTAGCTCTATAGACAAATTACAAAACCACAAAGTTCCATTCTATGTTAACCTGACATTTGGTCACACCTCTTTTAACCATATTTAACTTCAAATAAACAGCAAAGTCTTGCTTCTGATTATTAACATAATTCATGGTTCATCAAAAAAATCAAAACCAGGGGCATCTGGTTGGCTAAGTTGGTAGAGCATGCACCTCTCGATATCGAGGTCATGAGTTCAAGCCCCACGTTGGGCATGGAGCCTACAAAAAAAAGAAAAAAAGATCAAGAACATGCTAACCCTCTCCCCCAAAGAGAATACAAATTCTTAGTTCACATTATCTTCAGGTGATGTTCAAGCCTTTTCTAAAGTAGGTCAAAGTCCCCTCTGATCTCTATTAATACTTCTGAGATGGTAGAAGGAAGAGAGAAAAAGAATTAGTTGATACATACCTAATAGGTTTATAATAAGAAAAATTCATAACTATTAACTCATTTCTACAATTGGTCTTGTGGTCATAAATGGTGTCTATAACTTCTTCCTTCCTTCTTCCACCACCCATTCCGTATTTCCTTTGCCCTCTGCAAGTGCCTTGGATAGTCCTGATTGCTTGCCTGGTGGAATGACCCAAACCTTCTTTCCTGAAGGGCCTCGGATCTTACTAGTCCAGTCTGCACTGAGTTGTAGTTTTCCACTAGCTTTTATCACATTATATGGTAAAATTACGAGTAGCCCCAGGAGATCTGCTGCATTCCAGACATATTGACCCTTACCCTCTGTGTGTGATCACAACCCAATTTCCCCTTTCAAATCTGGATCAGTCACCGGAAAGCAGCCCACTGGTTCATTATCATGAGAAGCCCAATGTGGCAACCTCAGTTTCCAGTTTAATGGAACTCCTGCTGAGTTCTCTGGGGGAGGCATGCCTTTCCTGGGAACTAAGACCACTGGACCAGCAGAACCCAAAGTTGCCTTATGACTTGATGAGTCAGGCAACATCCAATTCATGATGGGCAATTCAGGTAATTTGGTAATGCTTGGTGGTCAAGCATTCAGTCCTTCCTAGGGCCCAATAGCAAGCTAGAAACTTTGTCAAAAGGAGGAATACTTTTTCTGCAGAGGATGGCATAGCTTTTCTTCAAAATCCTAAAGGACTCTGCTGTCATTCACTGAAAGGAACCTGCCAAAGGCTCTATACAAGCATCCCTACCTGCCACAGATAACTCCAAGATCATTAGATCTGCTAGATCTTAAGGCCTAAGTGGCCGAGCAGCCTGTACTGCAGCTTGGACCTGTTGCAGAGCCTTCTCTTGTTCTGGGCCACCCTTGAAAATGGCAACAATTCTGATTTCTCAGCAAATGAGTGACACACCCGAAGTATGTATTGCCTTCAAAATCCAAAGAGGCCCACTAGGCATTATGTCTCTTTCTTAGTGATAAGAGAAGCCAGATTTAGCAATTTGTCCTTCACCTAGAAAGGGATATTGCAACATGCCCCAGTCCTTTGGATCCCTAGAATTTCATTGAGGCAGGTCCGTGATTTTGTGAAATCGATTTCCTATCCTCTAGCATGCCTTTTTACCAAAGTATCCAGGTTGATGCTCTATCCTGCTCACCATGTCCGTAATATTGTGGGCCAGCATGATATCCTGTAGAATTCAGAGGTGATCAGTCTCTCCAGACTAGCTAGAAGGGTAATAAAGCCTTGACATAAAATAATGAAGTTGTACTGTTGGTCCTGACAGCCAATAGCAAATGGTTTGTCATTACTATGAGGTCTGGGGTGGGGGTGGGGGGGAAGCATTCACATCAGTAGCTGCATTCCAGGTGGCAGATAAATTTTTTTTTCCAGCAAACACACACATATCTGGAACAGCAGTTGCAATGGAAGTCATCACCTGGTTAAGTTTATGATAATCCACTATTATTCTTTATAATCCATTTGTCTTCTGCACAAACCAAATGTGTGTGTTGAATGATATGGTAAGAACCAATGTTTCATCTTTCAAGTCTGTCAGAGGCACTAGTCTCTGCAATCTCTTCTCTGCTCTTTAGATCGAAAAGTTGAGGCCAGTCCCATGTTTCTTCAATGTACTGTAGTGAAAGAACTGTTTACAACTTTGCTGTTTGGTCTTGCAATCAGGTTAATAAGCCCTTCAATTTTAAGATTGTTGTGGCATTGCAATCCATGAACGTGGCACCTCTCAATTTCTCTCATCAGCGTTATTTTGCAGCTTTCAGTATATAAGTTGTGCACACTTTGCTAGTTGTACTAAGTGTTTCTTTTGGGTTAGAGCAAAGGGGGCTCTATTCAGCTTTAAGCGTCTGAATTTCTCACTTAAGTCTTTTGATTTCTTTCATTAGTATTTTGTACTTCTTAGCACACAATTTTTTTTTTTTTTTTAAAGATTTTGAGAGAGCACAAGCAGAGGGAGAGGGAGAAGCAGGCTCCCTGCTGAGCAAGGAGCCCAACGTGGGACTCGATCACAGAACCTTGGGATCATGACCCGGGCCGAAGGCAGCCAGCCACTTAACCGACTGAACCACCCAGGCATCCCTTTAGCACACAGATTCTGTTCATACTGTTAAATTCATTCCTAAGTAAACTTTGTGGGCATGTTCAGTTTACTGAAACATCTGAACAGTTCTGGGAGGGGATTACTTATAACCCACTTCCACGTATCACAGACTAACATCTCTCCAAATGATTATCCCGGTTCTCTGTTCAGGCAATGAAAATCGAAAAAGTGAAATGAGGACGGTAGGACAGTATTTACACTGGATGAGGGTGCTGAGATGAGCCATCTCAGATTTTCCTCAACTGGGCTTAGAGGAGTAGTGCTGAGATGTCCTACTGTCTCACCATGTGAATTACTTTAGTCAAATGTTCTCATATGCAAGAATTCCTAAATAGCACAGCCCGCTAAGGACATACCACACACACATTTGGAGTTCCAGTGGGCTTTTATTGAGATAAATTAACAAAAACCAAGATTTTATCAACCATTTTTTCTGAACCTTATAAACGCAGCAGACTCTGGTCCATATATGTGTACATACAACGTAACACATCCCAACAAAAACAGAGTCCCACTGGAACATTTGCCAATTAACAGAAAGCCAATTTTCCCTTTCCCCAAATGTTTTCAAAATTTTGAGTCCCCACTGTTCACTTCTCAGTGGAACTCGTCCCTTGTGGCTAGGGACATTGGAATTCTATCCCATTTTTACTGAAAATACATTTTTTCAAGTTTTAGTTTGTTTCAAAAAAGGGAAGTGACTTTGTTTTCTCCAGGCACCCCTCCCCCACAACCATTGGTTAAAATACAGTAGCCTGTATCTTAATAACCCAGCCCTACCCCCTCCCTTGCCCTGCCCAGTATTGTCTACTGGAGAATTTAAACACACTTCTGCTGGAATCTGTCAGCTGTGGAGGGGCAGAGTCCAGGTGCCAGGCTAGCTCCCTCTAACCTCATGAACTGTTATATAGCCTTTGGACACTTAACTCTCTACCCCAAAGATGAGTTTTTAAGACCAGAGATTTTCTTTGGGAGTTTAAGAAAACTATCTTCAAGGATATAAAGCATAACTACAAGCTCACAAAAGTCCACTTAATTTCACAAAAAGTTGACTTCAGCTCCCATGAAGCCAAAAATTTTGCTTGACAAAGGTATTTTGTCAGAAAATGATTCCACAGTAACAATTTTTAAGATACACAGAACGCTGAAAAAAGTAGCAAATTAAAATAACATGGCTTAATTCCCCAAAAATTATTTCATCTTTTTGTTACTCATCTATAAGGTCAGGAGTGTGGCTAAAGGCCATTTCTGATGAGGTTATGAACTTCCAAAGTGTTTCTAAATCCTTAGTGCAGACACCCTCCCTTTTGGGGCATAGTAACCTCCCTCCCACCCCTATTAAAAAAAAAAAAAGAAAAAAAAAACTAAACCAAGTGATCAGAATGAGATGTTTTGATTCCAACAAATTTACACTCAAGGCTTTGTGCTATCTGGTTCTAACCCAAGCATGATGGTATCAAACACAAAGCACACAGCGAAGGAAAGATGCTCCCATCTCATTCTGAAAACAGATATTGATAACCAATTGCCTCCCCCCTCCCCCCAGCCATTGGGACCCACCCATATTACGATGCTGGGACCAACTGGAAAATAATTGAGATATATTTAGATTTGCTTCTCCCTTACTTCTTCCCATGGAAGATCATTTTAGAATAAGTTTATTCTATTCCCAAGGGAAAGCCAAGAAAGTTTCTCCATTGGAATGTATGGGAAGAGAAAAACAAGAGGCCCAGAGGCAGCAAGGTGTGTAACAGTCCATAACCCATTACACAACTACAACCATAGGCAAAACCATGAGTTGGACATAATTTAAATATTAAAAATAGGGAAGTTTCATCCAAACGAACCACTGGAAAAAATATTACCATTACTTAAAAGACACCCAACAGTGGAAAGTAACACAAAAACAATTTCCAGTAACAGTGCTCCTTATAGTGAGGGGGATTTAAAAAAAAAAAAAAAGAGAGACTAGGCTTTGACCTAGTCCTTAGAGCATCTTTCCATTTAGCAATTCCTATTCAAGAGTCAAGCACCAAAACTGGACAGCTGCCTCTACAGGACTGTGTCCAATAGTGGTGTTCCAGATCATTTAAGTGCCACTCCTCATCAGAGGCTATACTTCAGTAATACTTTCAATTAAGTCTGTGCTTTAAGAGGGACCCACAGTCATGTGGCACCAGGCACAGTCTGAGAATGGCAAAGACTGCGCGGTTTGTCTTGTCACCCACACACTCTCTAGCGAGATATCCAATTCCATCGACAAGCCTTTGCTTTTCTTCTATAATGAATGATCCCTCTTATCTCGCCAGAGGTGGGGGGAAAAGAGCTGCATCAGTACAAGGGCAAGATTTTTTTGGTCAAAAGTTGATGCCTTCTAAATTCCCTCCCCCCACCCCTCCCTGGAAAAAAGTTATTCCTTAATTAGGGCTTGTATTTAGTAACCAACATTGGCCAGATAGAACATAGCTTGGATACTAAATAAATTGAGCTTATTCTTTTTTGGGTTTGTACTGTGCAGCTCTTGCTACAGTTTTTTAAGGAGTTAGGGCTACGTCTGATCAGGAGGCATCTGCAGGATTTTGATCCTAAGGAGTTTTGGGTGAGTCACAAATAGTTTTGCTTAGAACTAGGCAAGAGTCAAAAAAAGCAACTTTGAATAATTGATTTCTTTATCCAGGTGAGTTAAGCATGAAAGCATATGCAGGACTTATCTTGTTTTGAAAAAATGGAATATGGAAATCAAATTTTTTTAATTTTATTTTTTGCCTTTTTTTTTTTTTAAACCCTAGATGCCTCCTGATTGACCTAGTACACTGGGTTAAAAGGGAATTAAAAACATTTAAAAAAAAAAGTTCACTGGTTTTGATTCATCTCACTCCTTTTGCCTGGAGATCAGGCCAAACATCAAGCATGTTGGGAGGGGCACAATTTAAAGCAACACTACTGACTGTAAAGCATTTGCCAGCAATTTACAATGCAAAATGACAGATAATTCTTGTCACAAAGCAAAAGGATGGCAAGCAGCTTTCTGTAGCATGAAAGTTAACAGCTCTCAGGAGTTGCCCATTCCTGCAAGTTTGTGTCTCAAGATGGGCAGAGGGCAACACACTTACACAGTACAGGAAGTGATCCACAGAAAATAAGCTCCAGAACTGCTAACATTACCAAAGCTGGTACTGGCTAATATTCTGAAATGCAAAATCCATGCTTTGTACATATACTGCTCAGACACTGCCACTCAACTGAATTCCCACACTGCAAGGGAGATTAATCTTTGTCCCCTTTTGCTGAGCTTGAAAAGTTCCTCAAACTTTTTTTAAAAGGGGGAGAAGAAGCAAAATCAGAGAGAGCGTCTCAAAAATAACATCTTGAGTCATAGGCTTTTGAAGTTTCCTTGCTCTCTCTGGCAGGTATTCTCCAAAGGTATTAGATGATACAGTGTGGCAGCAAACAGTAAATCCCAGACTTCTGGGTTCCTCTTCCAACACAGGGTCACCAAAGAGGCCTGCTCTCTACACTAAGAGGCCAAAGTACTTTTTAGAATTTAGTGTTGCGGAAAACTGAGCCCCTCTCATCTTTAGCTGCTCCCATAATCACTCTAATCCCCTTAATCCCAGCAACCTTCATCCAAAAAAAAATATATATATATGTATATATATATATGAACCCAGAAAAAAACTTATTTACAAAGTTTATACAAGTATACACACCCAATTTTCTATGGGACACGCTTTGCCACAGAGGAAAGAGGGTCAAGGCTCTGACATGTCTACACATCAAGTGCCATAACTGCTAATGGAAGCGTATGTAAACCAGTCTTTAGTGTTCTGCTATAGAGCACAAAGGCTTGTCATATGGCTCCTGCAATGATAGACTGCTCTTTCCTTTGGGAGCGATGATGTTGTAATCTACTCAGCCCAGAAGAAATTTTTACTTGGGATTGTTTTTTTTTTTTTTTAAATACATGTATTTACAGTGCGGATGAACTGCAGTTGCATATCAACTCCTCCACATAAAGAAAAATAGAATGATGTTTAACATTACTAATACGTGTCATCTTCCAGCCCTGGGCTTGAGTATCGGGTAAAAAGGGAAGAGAGAGACTTCAACTTGAAACCAAAATGAAAGACAAAAAATTTAAAAAGACAGGGGGAAAAAAAAGAGAAGAAAAAAAGAAAGAATTTCTATTGTTGATTCCTTGGGCTGTGTCTAAAAGATGATATTCTGAATGGTCTCATAGCATAAGGCACTTCGCACAAATAAGTAATAAGCTCTTCAGGCTTAAAAAACGGATGAGTAATAAGGGAGAAGTTGAAATGCACTCAAGAGTCAGCTGTTGGAGAATTTTGAAATTGTAGACAAGCTTGTGTGTTCATCAAGATTCTTCTCTTTTTAGGGTTTCTCCCCTTCTCTTCTTTCTCCTCCTTCCTTGTCCCCCCTCCCCAGAAAACATTTTTTAAAAACCAGCAGTTAGTGCAACTAATGTTCAGTCAGCACACAGTGCAAACAAGTGGAACAAAAAGGTAAATTCCTTCTTTTCAGCTTTTTCTCTTCACCAGTTAAAAAAAGAAAAAATGTCTGAGCTCTTTTAAGTCTTCATAGTTCCAAAATAAAAAGAAGATGAAAAACCCACAAAGAGAAGAGCATCCCCCCAAACGATGTGTCAACAGATCCAAACGAGCCTTCTGTAGTTTGTCAAAGCCTAAAGAAAAAAGGAAGAAACCTAAATTTAACTTTTGTGAAAACAGTATGAACCAGGATACCTAGGTTTTCACAACTCCAACCAAATGCTTTCTCTGTAGTGGCTTCTACTAAGCCTTTGCCCGCTGTAGAATCCATTTAGGATTAAGGAATTTCTGCTAGGCATTGAGACAGAACAAGAGCCTGAAAATTCTGATATCCAAAACAATTAAAGCAAGAAAAATTAAAAAAAAAAATTTTTTTTAAGATTTTATTTATTTATTTGTCAGAGAGCAAGAGAGGGAACACAAGCAGGGGGAGTGGGCGAGGGAGAAACAGGCTTCCCGCTGAGCAGGGAGCCCGATGCGGGGCTTGATCCCAGGATCCTGGGATCATGACCTGAGCCGAAGGCAGACGCTTAACAACTGACCCACCCAGGCACCCCAAAAATTTTTTTTAAACTCCCATAAACTTGACAGCCTGCCAGGATACCAGCAAACATTGGCTACCTTTATGTTTGTCTGAGGGTTTTGTTTGACATTTTGGAGGGCGGGGGGAGAAAGAAAGAAACTAAAGTGAAAAGAGCAACTCAGAAACTTCGAAAGAGTAACAGATAAATGGGGTGCCTGGGTGGGTCAGTTGGTTAATCACCTGACTTAGGCTCAGGTTAAGCTCCTAGGATCCCTGGCTTGGCGGGGAGTCTGCCCGTCCCTCTCCCCTCTGCTCATCCCCCTGCTTGTGCCCTCTCAAATAAATAAAATCTTAAAAAAAAAAAAAAAAAGAGTACCAGGTAAAATGCTTATTGCTAATTTGGAAGCTACCATCTCTCAAATAAAACAGATTTTCATTTTCCTTAGAAAAAGCTGCAAAACAAGCCTGTATTCTTTATGTTGAGCCTTCTTTTGAGCATTACTACCAGAATCCAATAGTCACCAAACAACGAAAGAAGAGGGTGGTGCAGGAAACAAGACTGGGCATTTAAAAAAAGGCAGTTACCCTCTCAACCTGATTATACATTTGGCAATGAGGCACTGCAGGTAATTAACCTGATTTATTAAGATGCCCAGTAGAAATTAAGAGTGATGCTAACAACAAAGAAATGACTGAGTGATAAAGGAAAAGACAAAAAAACATTTTCATATTCAAACTGTTGAAAAAGATTCCTTGCTTTCATTATTTTGGAAGTCTGAATTTGTCTTAAGTACTGCTCATGTATCACATTATACAGGAAAACTTCATTCAAGAGCAGCATTTATGGATTCTCTAATGGGACCACAACTTCACTCAAGCAATACATCCAGTTTACTGTCATTTATGCCAACAGGTGTTCTACCCTATCACTGCTATTACATGCAGTGCAACAGCAAATTTCCTCCAGGAAAGAGGATCTTGATTTAAACACTATGCTCACTTAGTGGTTCTGCCAGGTACGCACATGCTTGTTAAGGTTTCTCGTCTTCTACAGGCTCGCTGTGGTATTCTGCCACATACAGGCTCTTGTCAATGTTGCTTGGGATTGGTTTAATTTCTGTTCCCAGCTGCTCCTCAATACTTTTCAGGTTGAAGCGATCATCATATGTGATCAAGTTGATGGCTAAGCCAAGATGACCAAAGCGACCTAAAAATGAAAAACATTTTTTCATTAATAAAAATTTGAGTTAAATAGAACTGATGTGCACGTACAACTCTATTAGGGGCAAAACCATACAGGCTTGTTTTTGTTCAGTGTCATTCTGAGTTTTTAAAACCACTTCTTATGGTCTCCTCAAACACACATTACAACTTCAGGTATCAAAGCCCAAAGTAGTACCCTATTTCACCTTTTTCCAATGACAAAACAGATACTCATTTGTGTCAAAAGTTGCCAAAATACATACACTAAACAGTAGTTACAGACTGAACCACCTAATGAGAAAACTAAGGATCTCATCTGTGAATTTTATCTCAGTTTAAGCATAAAGTTATTTTAACTTTTCTTAAATGCTCTACAAGAATTAGAAATCAGTCTTAAAGGAACATCTTCCTTTTCCTCACCTGATCTTCCAATACGATGGAGATAGGTCTCTGCCAGCTTTGGGAAGTCAAAGTTAATTACCACATTCACAGCTTGTATATCAATACCTCGGGTAAACAAATCTTAAAAGAGAAAGAAAGAATCTCCATTATATCTTTCAATTTAAGCATGTTTCTTGGTACCATAATACTCTTTAACATGTATTTCTAGTGCAACCTTTTAGTCACTTCATTCAGTAATTCAAATGCACTTGCAAATTACTAGCTTTACCTTCCATGCACATTATCATAAATAACTTTCCGCTAGCAAGTTACCTTTCCTAGTCCCATAAAGTTTTTAAAAATGGTTTAAGATAACTGCAAATGCAAGAGGTCAGAATGACTGGTAAACTATAAGCTCATAAATGAGTCTCAGGAGTAATTTTCTTTTCATCTATTTTTTAGTATGTAATCCAAGATTAAAACAGATTAAAAACTTTGTGTAACCAAAAATACCTCAAAAAGAAGAGGTAATCCACTCATAGTAATTTATACTTTTTGAATTCATTCATTTCATTCTACAACGTGATTTACAAGTCTGAGGCAAGCACAAGGTCACCACTTCTCTCTTCTAGTCCCACAGTAACTATGCTAATTTAGGCTCAGAAAACTACAAGTAAAGACAATTACAATAGACTAATAACTAGGTTTCAAGGCTTCTATCAGCTCCATACTCCAAAATAATCCATGACGGTGACCACTATTTGTAAAATACTGCTTTCAATTTATAACTTATCCTTTTAAATTGCCTCTGGATAAAATTAAAATTGACATACAAGGTCCTCCACTCTATACTTTGGTCCTAACGTAGTTCTCTAACACATCTCTTCCTCAAACCTTACTCTCCACGAAATTCATCTACTCATCCTTCCTTAACCGTATCTTCTTGAAGCCCTCTATGGATCACATTTGATGCCAGTCCCCTAACTTAAAACTCCTTCTGCACGTCTAAAACTTATCTAGTTAACAGAGCCAATTACAATTCCACCTCTTCTCAGATCACATGTTAATTTCCTTTCCTATGAAAATTTAGGATTACTTACTACACATACCTCACATTTGCAAATTACTTTTATTCCCTTGTAGATCCAGCCTAAAGCCTGTTCTGTAAATCCAGTTTTACTGTCACAGGACCATGCCCATTTGTTCATGTACTGTTTAAGTGTGCTTTTGAGCTGGAATGGCAGAGCTGAGAAATTTGTAACAAGAGACCAAATGGTATCTACTATCTGGCACTTTAAAGAAAAAGGTTGCAGGGCCTGTCTTAGACTCTTAATGTTATCTTTTTTATCTGATTAAACCACTGCTCCTTGGGCGCCTGGGTGGCTCAGTTGGTTAAGCGACTGCCTTCGGCTTGAGTCATGATCCTGGAGTCACGGGATCGAGTCCCACATTGGGCTCCCTGCTGAGCAGGGAGTCTGCTTCTCCCTCTGACCCTCTTCCCTCTCCTGCTCTCTATCTCTCACTCTCTCTCTCTCAAATAAATAAATTTAAAAAATAAAAAAATTTAAAAAACCACTGCTCCTTGAAGTAAACGGTGCTACTTCGCATGTATTTATTTATACACTTTATACACCTATGTTATTCAGTACTTATTTAATGACATACTAAATACTGTTCTGTTTGCACATTCTGAATTTGCTTAACTCAACATTTCACCAATGAACTAGGTTCCTCTTCTACAGGCTCCCTAAGTGCAGGAAGTGTGTATATATTTAAAAATTTTTAATTGTGGTAAAATATACAGGATATAAAACTGAGGAGTAACATGTATTTTTTTTTTTTTTTAGCACCAAGCTATATACCTGGCAAAGAGTAAATAAATGTATGTTGGATATCAAAAACTATTTTTGAATGAATAACAACAGATATTTGTGCAGGATTCACTTTAAGGCATTCCCATCTTACAAATAAAAAAACACGTAAGAGTATGATTTGATGATTACAAGTAAAAACGGTAGGACCTAAGCCCCAATATTCAAATTCTAGTCTAGTATCCTTTCCACCAAATCAGATTACTTTATATTTGAGTACTCCAATACAAGATTTAGAAGTGCTGATAAAGTGGGGTGCCTCGGTGGATCAGTTGGTTAAGCATCTGCCTTCGGCTCAGGTCATGATCCCAGTGTCCTGGGATCAAGCCCCTCATCGGGAAGCCTGCTTCTCCCTTCTCCCTCTGCCTGTCTGCCTAACTTGTAATCTCTATCAAATAAATAAAATCTTTAAAAAAGTGCTGATAAACATACATGTATTAATTCACAGCTGTATTAAATGTCCTTTTAGATACAAAGCAGAGAAACAAGATAAACTGGAAACACTCAGGATATTGGAAAGCCCTGTTTTGGTTCTTGTAAATTAGCAAATTCAATATTCTGCTAGTATAAATTTGGAGTTTATTTCTATAGCAGTATTCTTTTTTTTTTTTAAAGATTTTATTTATTTATTTGACAGAGACAGTGAAAGAGGGAACACAAGCAGGGGGAGTGGGAGAGGGAGAAGCAGGCTTCCCGTGGAGCAGGGACCCGGATGCGGGGCTCGATCCCAGGACCCTAGGATCATGACCTGAGCTGAAGGCAGATGCTTAACGACTGAGCCACCCAGGCGCCCCTATAGCAGTATTCTTAAAAATCCAAATTGTATTCTAAAATTCTGATCTGGGTGCTAGTAATATGGGTGTGTATGTGTGCAAAATCCTTATAATTACTCTTTTTGTGTATACCTCAAAAAAAAAAAAAAAAAAAAATCCAGGCTCTTCTCTCTACCCAGAAGCCTAGTTTAAATGATTACTTTCATACCAATACTAAGATTGTATTTCCAGTGTAGAGATGGGAGGATACTCAATCCATTTGCTTTGTCTGATCTGACTGTCCACCTGCCTCCCCAATTTGTTCTTCTTTATGTACTGAAATACACCAAAATACAGACTAGTCTGTTTCTGGCAAAAATAAAAGACCACAATAAATAACTTCCAAAATATAGTTTCTTAATGTAATTTATTTTGCACACGGTACATATAACTCATTCCTGTAGGCTAAAATTATTCAGAAAACACATAAATTCCACTAGTTTAAAAGACAGATGAGGTATGAGTGCCAGTAACAAGTATTCTGCAGTTTCAGATATGGAAACTAATTTCAGGAATTAACTATAGCTCATTCTCAACTTCAGAAATTCCAGAAATGGCTTTAGGGTGAGCTGAACTCTTGTCAAAGACTCTGTTGGGAGATATGAACAGAAAAAGCAGAGCTGAACCAGGGAGAAAAACAACGGGTAAAGGAAATACTTACCAGTGCAAACAAGATTGCGGCATAAGCCATTTCGGAAATCATGAAATACACGATTTCGATGTTCCTAGGAACAAAGCAATGCATTTGATTTCTTTAAAAACTCATATATGCACAGCCCTAAATTTCTCATCACTAATTTCTCCAATCCAAAGTTTTGCATATCCCAAATTTATACAAATGAGAGATGAATGAATTCAATACCCATAAGTTAAAAACAAAAAAAGTTAATCATAAATTAGTTCCCCATGGGAATTAATAAGCAACAAAAACATCTATGGGGGCGTCTGGGTGGTTCAGTTAGTTAAGCATCTGAGTCTTGATCTCACTCATGGCTATACGCTGGGTATGGAGCCTACCTATAAAACAAAACAAGGGGCGCCTGGGTGGCTCAGTCTGTTAGGCGTCTGCTTTCAGCTCAGGTCATGATCCTGGGGTCCTGTGATCGAGCCCCATGTCAGGCTACCTGCTCAGTGGGGAGCCTGCTTCTCCCTCTCCTTCCTGCTCGTGCTCTCTAATAAATAAATAAGATCTTTAAAAAACAAAACAAAAATACCTACCCATACCTTTATTTAGCATTTCTCTAAGGATTTTATTTATTTATTTGACAAACAGGATAGCGAGAACAGGAACACAAGCAGGGGGAGTGGAAGAGGGAGAAGCAGGTTTCCCGCCGAGCAGGGAGCCCAATGTGGGGCTCGATCCCAGGACCCCAGGATCATGACCTGAGCCGAAGGCAGACACTTAACTGACTGAGCCACCCAGGTGCCCCTATTCAGCATTTATCTTAACTGTTAAGGGTAAAATTCATTTCAGCAAAAAGGATAATAATTAAAGTGACAACTTTCACCATGTTTTTGTATATCCATTTTTGAAATGTTTGAAACAGAAGATGGCAAAAATTTGGCTTGACCAAATCATTGACTATTTTAGTTAATGTATGCAAAAACAAAAATTTACTTTCCTTTTTTTTAAATTTGTGAGTGAGCACGCAGGGCAGATAGAGGGAATCTCAAGCAGACTCTCCCCACTAAGCGTGGGGCTCGATCTCACCACCCTGAGATCATGACCTGAGCCAAAATCAAGAGATGCTTAACCAACTGAGCCACCCAGGCGCCCCAAAAATTTACTTTTCAATTAAAAAAAAATGAAAACACATGCATAACGACTCTGACACAAGTGACAAATCTAGCATCTGGCAAACTGGTCTTTCCTTTCAAAGCAACGTTCTTCCAGTCTGAAATATTCTCTGCAGCTTAACACATTAATTTCCTGTGACAATTTCTAATATTAGGGTCTACGTGGTGGTATCTGATCCATTATCAAGCTTCTCCGAAAACCAAAGTTGAGCTGATTAACTCAAATTCTTAATCTGTTAGTCTTCAGAAACCGTTTTCACAAAATTTCAATGTTTACCACACACAACACAAATGTTGTTTTTATAGTTCTGAATTTATTTAAACTGTTTTTTTTATTAAACTGTTAAATCAAGTTCTGAAATTTAGAGAGATTGCATCCTAAAGGCAAATAAAAAAACATGGGCTGAAGAGGCACATAAATTAAAAATCTAGGAGTGTTGTCCAATAGAACCTTCTGCAATGATAGAAATGTTCTATATCTGTACTTTCCAAAACTGTAGCTGCTAGTCACATGTAACATGGCACTTGAAATGTGGTTAGTGTAACAGAGGAACTAAATTTTAAATTTTATTTAATTTTAACTCACTTAAATTGCCACATGAGACCAGTGGTTACTGTATTAGTGCAAATCTACATTACTTGGGAAAGAAGGGAATAAAATCACATATTTGTATCATGCTTGACAAAGTACTGATTTTATACATTATCTCAATCTTCCTAACAATCTTGTGAGCTTAAGAGTATGTGTTTTATAGTTAGAAAACTGAACCCCAGTGGTTAAAATGAAAGGTCCTTTGCCTACTAAGGAATAATTTATTCTTAGAGCATACAGAGAAGCACTGAAACAAAACAAAAATCCAAGAAATACTTAAAAGATTTTTAAAATCCACATACGAGTTCTAGTTTTATACTCACCTGCCTCATTTTAGCATGGATATAGAAGCAAGAATAACCCAGTTGAGAAATCTTCTTGGCTAGCAATTCAACTCGCTGAGAGGAGTTACAGAAAATGATCGACTGGTTTATCTGAAGCTGAGCGGGGCGGGGGGGATATGTGAGAAAGAAAAACAAAAACATTCATTTACTTTGCCAAATCTTGAAAATACTGACAAACAAATGCTAAAAAACATGATCTAAGACTTAGAATCTCATGATACAAGAGATGCAAAACTGTAAATATTGTAAATACTACTCATTTACTTAATAGTTGCAGATAAGTTATAAATTTTATTGTAGAAGAGTATGCTTAATAAGAGCCACATAATTGCCGACATGATTGAAACACATTCAATTCTCATCATTTGCAATAATTCTGTTCTATAAAGTTGCTACAAACACTGAAAACATGAATATAGAACCACTGCTTGTAAGGAGATACAGGGGAAGGTTCCTGAGAGCCTCTAAGTCACAACTTCTCATCAATTAATCAACAGATAACCTTGTTTTATGTGTTGCTGTTTAAAGACACCTTATTTACTCATGGCCAACAACACTGTAATTCCTGTCTGTACAAAATTTATCTAAAACACATTTTCTCTGCAAAGCACATCAGTCTTCTTGTGCTTAGAAGCAATGAACAGCACTTTAGCACTAAGCTTTGGAGCCATTTTAAACCTTGAAATAAAAAACAACAAAAAAAACAACACAAAAATGCAAAAAATGTGGCATTAATGTGGCACAGACTGTGAAAAAGACATTTATGAGAGCTGAAACAAGGCAATGTGTCACTTTGTTCAATCTCAGCTGGGAATATGAACAATAGCTGGTATTTTCTATTGTGTTACTAGGATCCACAAATGACTTCGAAAGCACTTGAGTATTGATTGTAAGGTTACAAATTTTGGCATGTAGCCGAATTTGCAAATACATAATATGCAAATAATGAGGATCGACTATAATCAAGGTCAAATTACCTTATAATTTAATTAAAAATGTCTTTGATGTCAATCATACCTATCGACTTCAGATCAACAACCAAAACTACCTTTTAGGAAAAGCTATGGACTATTTTTACATTGAAAATGGTGGGAAAACAGATACAACTGTTTTCTGGGGGTTAAGTAATGGGTAATATTCAGCAACTGAAGCCTATTACTTACCCTGGAGAAAAGTGTGTTGAGGCAGTGTACTTTTTGGCGCTCAGTTACATACGCGTAGTACTGGGTTACTCCCTTCAAAGTTAGTTCCTCCATCAGGTTAATCTCATAGGGTTTCTGCAAATGGGAATTCTGAAAAAAAGAAAAGTCATATAATTAAAAAAGCAGAGCATATCTCTTAAACTTGAAATATATCCACCACACATTTCTGATCAACTCTTGCTTAAAAGGCATGCAGAGTATAAATAATCTAATCTACGACAGAAGAAATAAGTTACCATATAATAGAAAATCTAACATTCAGATACGTAGCTAAATTCCTATTTTGTACTTTGTATACAGGATTACAACGTAATCAATTTATCCAGTATATCAATGGCTGTATGTCAGCCTGACACCAAAGGCTAAGTGAATAAAGAATTTGATCAAATTACTGTTTAAAAAAAATCAGTTAAATTATGCACAAGAAACCTTAATTGATCAGCTGGCAGTAAAGCCAAAAATGTGAAATAATCAGCATAAACTGATAACAAGATGTAATTATGAATAAAGGTATACTCGTGGGCAACAGAATGAATGGCACTGCTTCCAAGTACAGACTTATACTCACCATGAACTTCTGTACACTAAGAGGGAAAGTAGCAGAATATAATAAAATCTGTCTGTTTTTAGGTAGCGTGAGAATAATATCCTCCATTATCTGCACAAAATCCTGTGACAGCAACTTATCTGCCTGCAGTAGAAAGGAAAGACAATTTCAAAAACAATCAGTGTTCAAGGTTAAAAAGGCATTACCCCGCAGGGGCATTCAGGGAATATTCCTGGCTGTAACCCATACTCACTCTATGACACTCCCTACTCCAAAGGCACCAAAACACATTTGCAGTGATTCAAAAGGGGGAAAATCTGTAATACCGTATTCTAGAGGGAAGAGAAAACCCTAGACAGATAATAGTCCTTGTTCCCCTAACAAAATTTTAATGTGATTTCCATTAGAGGCGGTACGTGGTTGAGAGTACAATCTGCAGAGTCAAACTACCTGGGTTGAAATCCTGCCTCCTTCACTTATTAACTATGTTGGCACATTATTTAACCACCCAATACACTTCAGTTATTTAACCACCCAATACTTCAGTTTCCACAACTTTAAAATTACTGCTACCTTACAGGGTTGTTGTGAAAAGCAAATGAAAAAACATGTGCTAGCACACAGTGACTAATAAACATTATCTCTCCTTACTCAAAGATAAAAAACCTGTCTGAATTAGACTATGATCGACCTGATCTAGTTATCTAAAACACAAAGAGAAAAATAACTTTATTTCAAAACATTAACACTGATACAGTGTATGTATAAAAACACTGCCAGATCCAAAAAATGTAGAGTCCAATAAATTCTTAAAAGGCACTTACAACCTGATGAGATAACAAATACACCAGAGACAAAAAAACAAACAATACAAAGTAGGATATACTAAATGAGGGGTTAGAGACATTAGATGCTTTTTAAGATGTATCATTGATTGGAAAAAGACTTAGAATGAACTTGACTTTGAGATATTCAACAACTCCTTTTCTTGAAAAATAAAAACAAAACTTACAATCTGGCATCCCTAAGAAAAAGACAACTAGGCTGAACTATTCCTAAAAATGCCTACCATCTATTGCCTTTAAAGGGCAAAACATGTTTTATAAGTGAATTAGTTTGAATTGACAAGAGTCACGCATTTAGTTGAGGTTCACGAACACAAAGAGCTTTTGCTTTATTCACTGGCAGTTATAAACAAAGAAATGAAGAGACATTACCTCATCCAATACTATCATCTGGACATGATCAACTTTTGCTACTCCTTTCTTGATAAGATCCAGGATTCTTCCAGGGGTAGCTATCACCACGTGCACTACACAAGATTAAAATATATATATATATATTTTTTTTTCATTCATTTTAGCTTGGGCAAAGAGGATAAAGGTTTATCGTACATATTTTATCACAAACTTGTAGAGGCAGGAATAATACAGGCAAAGATGTGTTTTAAGACACAGATTTTCATTTCATCCTAGGTTGGTCAGAGAATACTTGTTTCACTCCTACATGGGGCAGGCTAATAGCTTCCTAAATCACCTGCTCCAAATAAGGGGGAATACTTGTCTTAAAACTATCCCCAATGAATAACAAAGATATACCAGGCATCTCATACAGTTGCTTGCCTCTAAACTAGAGCAGTGGTCTTCAGAAGATTGTTATAAGAATGAAATGAGATAATAATTTTAAGTAACTGTGCAATATGAAGTATATAGTAATTAGCAAATGACAACCATATATAAAATTCTAACTCAAACTTTACTTATAATTTTACATAAGGGGATTTCATGATTGTGCTATCTTTTTTCACTCAATGATGTATCACGGAGAACTCCATGAAAATAAATACAGATCAGCTTCACTGTTTAAGAGCTTCATGGAATTCCACTCAGACTATACCCCAACGTATTTAACCCTCTGACATTTAGGATATTCCAATTTTTCAGTACTACAAACCACACTGCAGTAACCCTTTATTTGCCTAGTATTTCTTCAGGAAAAGATTATTGAAAATACACATTTATAATTTCAAAACACAACACCAAACTGCCCACCATAAAGATCGTATTGATTTATACCCTCACGCTGCAAGACAGCCTATTTCTTCTCAAAGTTATTATTGGTTACTAATATTTTTTTAGCCTTGCCAATTGGACAGATACAATATCAATCTACTTTTATTTACATTAAAAAAATTACCAACAAGGTTGAATATCCTTTCAATTACTATCAATTTTTTTTTTTTAATGAAATGGTCATTTCCTTTATTCATTTTTCTACGGCAGTGTTTCTGATCTTTAAGTCTTTTTTTTTAAGATTTTATTTATTTATTTGACAGAGAGCACAAGCAGGCAGGCAGAGGGAGAGGGAGAAGCAGGCTCCCACTGAGCAGGGAGCCCGAAGCGGGGCTGGATCCCAGGACTCAGGGATCATGACCTAAGCCAAAGGCAAATGCTTAACCGACTGAGCTATCCAGCTGCCGCCCCTGGTCCTTAATTCTTAAAAACAACTTTTAGTAAGTTCAGGAAATGCCCGTGTCTGTAATTACACTTGGAGAGCTAGGCCACATTTAATCATTTCCTACCTGTGTCATCAAGCCTCATTATGTCATCTCGTAAATTGGTTCCTCCTGTGGTTGCCATCACTTTGGCCCCTCCCATGTGCTTGCTGACCTGGATGCAAATTTGACTGACCTGTAGAGCAAGTTCTCTAGTGGGAACAATCACCATTGCTGGAAAATAGAAAAAAAGAAACATATTTTAAGAGTGTAATAAGCTACAGAAATACTGCCCCTTGCAATCTAGATGCTCAGGACATATTAAAAAGTTGAATCATAATAAGCCTAATTCTGAAAAGGTAAATAAGTAAATCTCCTTTACAAAAAAAAAAAAAAAGAAAAAGAACCCATTACAGCGTTCTAGCTTTAGACTTTTCCTCAGCAACACTGCTTTATAAACCTGGTACTCCTTAGTTACAAACCTTTAAAGGGTTCTTTGACTTGGCAACCATTAGCTCAAGGTTTATTAATTTAATATTTCAGTAAGAGACTCACTAAACACCTGAATAGGAAACTCCTGCTGCCCAGGTTCCATTTACATCACATGAATGTAGGTAAACGGAAAATGGGAGAAATGATTACAGATCAAGATCAATTTATGAAAATTTCAGAAAAAGCTTTAGAGGTCAAAATTTAACTATTAGCTTACTTTGCATACAACTATGGAAACTTGTTTCTTCCCTACTAAGCTCTTAAAAATTCCAGAACCACAAGGCTTTATAGAGGAAAACGTTCATGAGCTCTTGCAGACATGTAGGTGCCCCAAGAAACAATTCAGTTCCACAGCTTCTAAGTAGCAAAGTCGGACAACTTCATGATCTTTGCTTTCCTATCTATAAGGCAATACTTATTTTGCCTATTTCACGGGAATACTATCAAAACTGTGTAATATGTAGGGCGCCTGGGTGGCTCAGTTGGTTAAGCAACTGCCTGCGGCTCAGGTCATGATCCTGGAGTCCCGGGATCGAGTCCCACATCGGGCTTCCTGCTCAGCAGGGAGTCTGCTTCTCCCTCTGACCCTCTTCCCTCTCATGCTCTCTATCTCTCATTCTCTCTCTCTCTCAAATAAATGAATAAAATCTTTAAAAAAAAAAAAACTGTGTAATATGTAAAACTCCTCTGAAAATAGCAATCTTTTTAAAAAGCTGAGTACTTTTTTTTTTTTTAAAGATTTTATTTATTCGACAACAGCGAGAGAGGGAACACAGGCAGGGAGAGTGGGAGAGGGAGAAGCAGGCTTCCCGCCGAGCAGGGAGCCCGATGTGGGACTCGATCCCAGGACCCCGGGACCATGACCTGAGCCGAAGGCAGATGCTTAACGACTGAGCCACCCAGGCGCCCAAAAGCTGGGTACTTTATAAGACAGTTGGGCCACAAGCTGTGAAAAGGTAAATACTAACCCCAGATTATGTAAATTATAAAAAGAAATGATAGTATCTTCCACACAGCTCCAAAGTAAAACAGCCATCTTTAGTTTAAACAAACTAACCTTGTATATTGTCCTTCTTCAGGTCTAGCCGTTCAAGTAAGGGAATGAGGTAGGCACCGCTCTTGCCTGTTCCATTTTTTGCTCTAGCTAAGATATCCCTACCAGATAAAGCAATGGGAATGCTCTCCTCCTAAGAGACAAGAAGATGCAAATTACTTGTGAATGAAGACAGTACATAAGCAAATTATTCTCTAAAATATACTGGAGGTATACCTCTTTGGTACAGCTTTCAAGTGTCCCACATTTGCATTTTATAAGACTAGGCAGAGACCAAGTAAATCATCAGTCAACATCACCATCATTATCAACCAGTATTTATGAAACTGCTCATAGTGTATTATTAAACTGTATCCCAATGTAATAAAAACTATATGGATTTGTATGTGTGAGAATGTATAGGTCTAAGGAAGCTGGGGATCCACAGCAAAGAAAACAAAGAAGAGGAACCTGGGCTAACACAAATAAGACTTGAATAAACAGAAAAAAAAGTGAAGGACATTTCATAATGAAAAAGTGGGAGAAAAAAATGGCACGAACAATACAAAGGAAGGCTGTACGTTTTGAGACAAGTAAGCCAATTTAACCACAATGAAAAGCTGCAGTTTTGACAACTCATCCTTGCAAAAAATAGGAATGAACTGGAAAAGTTTAACTTCAGGTCCTGATTTATTATAAGCTCACAATGTCAATGGCTCACATCCAACTTCTCTGTCCTGAAATGTCCTCAATTGGAGGCTCAATTCTATTCCAGTTATCTTAATCCACGGTCAAGAGCGTGACTTTTCATTTTCACATTTAGCTTTCTTTGTCATGTGTGTTTTGCAAAGATAGTATTTCCTACTAGGACAAGTTACCTAAACAATAGCAAAGGATTCTCCCAAATCACTGTTAATTAAGTACACATATACACATACACATATATAGGCAGAAGAGGTCTAAAGAGGGAGGAGTAAGAACATTTCCATTTCTAAAACTAGAATTTTTAATTTTAATTTCTAAAACCAAAGAATTATGAAAGTAAATTAGGAATGAGATTCATAATCACTGTAACATCATTTCTATACTTAAGCTAATGACCAAAAGAACTATCTCTAACACTTTAAAATCGTTATTACAGCAACATCTAATAAGCATCATGACTTGCATTTTCCACCATTAATACTCATCCTACCTAGAACCCATCACAGGGGTCAGAAGGGTTCCATATGATCAGAAAAAGAAACACAGCTCCCAGAACTGTAAAAATGGTCCAATGACAATACTCTTGTTACCCTCTGTTCCTATAACCAGCATTAAACAGTCTGATTATGATTATAATAAAGCAGGCCAAAGGAAAAAATCCTTGGCTTTGCCCCTTTGGGTCTTAATCTCTTCCTTCCTACTTTGAGTCAACTCTGTTCATCTACAGTTGCTCTGGGGGCTTATTACCCCCATGGGTTCATTTTCTTCCATGGTTTTTAAATAGGCTACTTGCACACTACTCAGTTCTATAGCAGAATAAAAGGCTAGGTGGTCTCCAAGGGCCTCCCAGTGACTTCTCAAGTCAGGTTCTTTAAAAGAATAAAACTTTTGAATGAAGTGAGGCAGGTTAGAACTAGCTTAAGGGTATCCTAATTCCCATTTTGGGTTCACCTTCTAACTTAGATTAAGACCACTAACTTCTATTCCCTTGCACTCTCTGATAGGGTTTATGCTCTATAGAAACTGTTTAAGGCTTCTTTAAAAAAAAAGTAAGCAAGCTAGTCTCTAAGTTAAGATACACTGATATTTTGCCCCATATGGTGAGCAGTCAGGGAATTCAACACATCCACACTGTCTCTTACCACTGTCTGCTAGGAAGATTATGTAATATGATGAAAGAGAATTCAAGTCAGGCTCAGACAACTGTGAAACCCAAGAGGAAATCATGGGAGCTACCAGGGAGAAAAGAAAGAAGGTAGGAAGCTAAAAACTAAAAACTGTGTGCTGATTCAGATACTTTGTTATTTATATCCTTTCAAGTTAGGTATTTTTGTTTTATAATAAAAACATTCCCACACAAAAACTTGTATGTGAATGTTCATAGCAGTATTCAAAACAGCTAGCAGTAGAAACAACCCTATCAACTGATACATAAACCAAATGTAGTATAGCCATACAATGGAATTATTATTCAGCAATACAAAGAAGTACTAATACATGCTACAACATGGATGAACCCTAAAAAATGCTAAGTCAAAGAAGTCACTCACAAAAAAACCATATATGACTCCATGTATATGAAATGTCCAGAACAGGCAAATCCATAGAGACCGAAAGTAGATTAGTGGTTGGTTAGGGCTAGGGGAAAATGAAGGGAGACTGCTAAAGCAGTTTCTTTTTAGTGAAAGTGTTCTAAAATTGATTTGCACAACTGTGAATATACTAAAAACCACTTAATTGTATATTTTATTTTTATTTTTTTAAAGATTTTATTTATTTATTTGACAGAGAGAGACACAGAGAGAGAGGGAACCCAAGCAGGGGGAGAGGGAGAGGCAGGCTTCCCGCTGAGCAGAGAGCCCGATGTGGGGCTCGATCCCAGGACCCTGGGATCATGACCCGAGCCGAAGGCAGACGCTTAACGACTGAGCCACTTTAAATGTGTAAATTGTGTGATATGTGATTTTTATCTTAGTCAAGTTACCAAACCCATGACAACCCCACCACAACCTGAGGTCTGATTCCGCCACCTTACCTCTCCAAGGCCATGTTCCACTGTAAGGTGGAAATGACCCACTAAGTATTTGTTGTGTTTTGGCTACCCTAGGATCCATTTTCCCTTTCCTAATAGCACCTTAACTTTCTTCTGAGGAATTACATGTCCCCCACCCACTGGATAGTCTAGGCAACCTCCCCAGCTAAATGGGAGACTTCAACTGAACCCAGGCCAGCTCCATGCTCCCTTCTAAGAATTTAAATTGTTATAGTACATCCTGTAACAATTTGTAGCTTCCTAGAAAACGCTTCAGAGTTGCCTCAGTCCTTGGTCAATTCCAAGTGTGACTTTTCTCACTCTTGTGAACTCCTCTGACATTCAATAAATTTCCCTTTGCTAAAGTTAGCCCAAGTTGGTTTGTTGCTTACAACCAAAGCACAGTATACCTTCCAATTTCTTAGTACTGAGAAGCATCTGACAGAAGTGTGGTACCTAAAAAAGCTGAAAATTGCCCCATTAGCTGTTTTTTTTTTTTTTTTTTTTAAAGATTTATTTGACAGAGAGAGAGGGAACACAAGCAGGGGGAGTGGGAGGGGGAGAAGCAGGCTCCCCACGGAGCAGGGAGCCCAGTGCAGGGCTCAATCCTAGGACCCCGGGACCATGACCTGAGCTGAAGGCAGACACTTAATGACTGAGCCACCCAGGGGTCCCCATTTAGGGCAGTAGTTTCTTTTTACCTCCTCGGGCCAGGTGACCTTACGAATCTTAATTTCAGGGGGAAAAAATAGTATGAGTATGGTGGAGGAGATAGCAATGGTTGTCACAGGTATCTATCTACTGCTGCCCAGAAAAAAGGATATGGAAGATAATAATTTCAAAAATATCTCTAACTTAAGGAACACACCCCAATTTTACCACAGTAACTAATGAGGAAATGCATTTAAAGATTTTTTTTTGCAAACTTAGGAAAACAATTCCTATAATAAGAAATCCATGTTAGCCAGAGAAATGATTTACAAAGGATTAAGAACACTGTAATTCCTATCAACAATAAACTATTAATTCTTATTAAACCTGGTTGACAAAATAATTTCTCAAAATAGTTGAGATTCTTGACCCTGATGTGAAATTTTGTTGCCAACAATACGAACTCCCATGTTTCCCTCAATAATGGACTACCTGCCATTTCATCATTATCTTATCTACAAAGTCTTCAAAAGTTGCGCCTAGGGTCTGGAAGCAGTAAGAGTTGTCAATCACTGCAAAGTTAATACAGTTGAGCCCTGAACGTGGGGGTTAGGGGCACTGACACCCCACACAATCGAGAATCCATATATAACTTTTGACTCCTCTAAAACTTAACTACTAATAGCCTACTGCTGACTGGAAGCCTTACTGATAACGTAAATAGTCATATATTTACATTAATGTAAATTAACATACAAAATAATACATTTTATATATGTAAATAAATGAAGTTAGAGAAAAAAATACTAAAAAATTATAAGGAAGATACATTTACATACCACAGAAAAAATCTGCTGTTCAAACCTTTGTTGTTCAAGGGCCAACTCTGTAAGGTTTCATAATGTTAAGCAGAATAAAACAGGTTCTTAGGCCAAAGAAGTTTGCGCTCATATAAGGCTATGCCTTTAGGGTGGCATAGTTATGCTAGCTATGGAGCATAGCATTCAGAACCAGAACTAGAGTCACAGATGGCTACACCAAAGAAAGATGTGTGGGGGCAAGCTGTAGTATATCTGGTTCCAGCCTGTCAGTGTAAAATATTCTTTTTGGAGGATATAATTTTAAGTGCCTCATTGTCCAATAATCTTACAGCCAATAAAATTTCACCATCTCCTAAAAAAGACTCAAATGCAGAGGACACCCATCTGATCAAGAAGGCTTCTGTATTTGGGAAAAAAAATGCCTGGGTAGAACTGTAAACTAAGTACTATGGAAGATAATACCTTAAAAACAACAGGAAAACAAGGAAAGTAGTTAAGAACAGAATGAACAGAAGGCAGCCAGTCATGAGGTTAGATTCTACTACAGGATTTCGTTTCTTTTTGGTTCTAAAATCCTAATATTTACAGTTTATTACACTGAATAATTCTAAGGAACATCTTGTGTTTTTCACAGATTTTGGGCAAAACAAAAGGAAGAAAAAGACAATGTGAATGGTGGTCTTAAACACCCAAAATAATACTTTATGTTCTCACACTGCTTTGCTATTTCGAAACATTTTGTTTACATGTTACATTTACTCCTCACAAAAACCCTGTGAGGGACATTACTTATTTCTACTTTACTGAAAAAGCTAAATATGAGACTGGTAAAGTGGCTGGAAAGATAACTGCCTATATGTTATACTAATACTGAAAGTGCAAATAACAAAGTCAATTTTAAAATTTTAATACATGGGCGCCTGGGTGGCTCAGATGGTTAAGCGTCTGCCTTTGGCTCAGGTCATGATCCCAGGGTCCTGGGATCGAGTCCCGCATCGGGCTCCCTGCTCCTTGGGAGACTGCTTCTCCCTCTGCCTCTCTCTCTCTCTGCCTCTCATGGATAAAAAAAAAAAAAAATAATCTTAAAAAAATAAAATAAAATTTTAATACAAAGGTGGGAAACAGGAGCCAGCAAGGGTCCATTAAGAATTAAGTCAGCTAGGGTGCTGGGTGGCTCAGATGGTTGAGCATCTGCCTTCAGCTCAGGTCATGATTCCAGGGTCCTGGGATTGAGTCCCGCATCGGGCTCCCTGCTCCTTAGGAGCCTGCTTCTCCCTCTGCCTCCCTCTCGCTCTGTCTCTCATGAATAAATAAATAAAATCTTAAAAAAAAAAAAAAAAAGAATTATGTCAGCTAGGGGCACCTGGGTGGCACAGTCGGTTGAGCGTCCGACTTGGTTTCGGCTCGGGTCGTGATCTTGGGGTCCTGGGATCACAAGCCCCACGCTGGGCTCTGTGCTCAGCGCAGAGTCTGCTTGGGTTTCTCTATCTCCCTCTGCCCCCCACCCCCGCCAAATAAAATCTTAAAAAAAGAAAATGAATTAAGTTTGCTAAGTGAACCAATCTTTTTTTTTTTTCTTTTCTTTTTTTGGGGAAAGCAGGGGCATTTATTCCTTCTTGCCTCCCCATTGCCTTTTCTTGCCTCCCCATTGCCTTTTTTGATAAAACTACCATATGGAGTAATAACCCATAACTATTATAGAGCATTTAACATCTACTAGGCACTATACCAAGCATACTAAAATGAATTACCTCACTTAATCTTCACAACTCCTCTATGATATATACTATCATATCAATTTTATAGACCAGGAAACTGAGGCTTAGAGAGATAACTGAAATAATCAACTTATAAAGGAGTGGAGTTGGGATTCAACGTGGGCAGTCTGACTGCAAGACTAGTTCTTCAATAGTTCTATAGACCAAGTTAACCTGCAGACACGTCAACCATAATTTCATCAAAGCATTCTAAATACCACTGAACATCTGAGGGCCCATTTCCTGCCATCCACCTTGCTAAGTACTGGAGATATAAAGTTGAATGATATAGTCCCTACAGTAGAAGGCTCTCATGAAACTTTTCATCCCTGTAAATAAAATGGATTAACATGAACTACATTATAGAAAAGTAAATTACAAAATATTTTCAATATATGCACTCAAATTGCCTATCTGGTGATATATAACCTTATCTCGATACTTTCTCAGCCATAATAAACTTCTTTAGTTTGTCCACAAAGGCAAACAAAGGTGAAAACCCCTAGGCAACCACTACCCCAGTGTTCTCTGCTTGGAATATGGATCACTTCTAATGGCTACATATATATGCAATTTCAACTACAAAGGGGCACACTGAAATTATCTGTACGATTAGCTGTCTTATCCACCTACTGTGAGGGCAGGAACCCTGTCTTGTTCATAAAAACATCTCGTCTCTAACATTTTCTAGGTTACTCAGTACATGTTTGCTCAATGAAAAAATACTCAATGATGTCACAGGGTTTGTTCTTATTACAGCTTCGGTTTAACAGTTTTAATTAATGTGTGTTTATGTCTACGTGTATGTAGATACATATACATATGTCTACATACATATATACGTTATGTATATAATACATACATATATTTCCTTGTTCTTTTCACTGAAAGGGCCGAAGAGCAAAGAGTGTATGCACTATGCAGATTTAAGTTTCTAATACTACTATCCCACTAAGCAGGGCTCCTTGGAGAAACGGCTGATTCCAAGGCTAGGACAAGATAGGTATAGATAAGCTCAGCATCATGATATACCAAAAAGGAAGTACTCAAGAAAAATGAAGGGGGTGGGGGAGGTGAGGAGTGAATAGGCAGAGCACAGAGGGTTTTTAGGGCAGTGAAACTATTCTGTCTATACTACAATGATGAGTACATGTCATCACACATTTGTTCAAACCAACAGAATGTACAACGCCAAAAGTGGGCCTTAATATAAATAACGAACTTTGGATGATGTTAATAGAGGTTCCTTAGTTGTAATAAATGCACCATTCTTGTGAGGGATATTGATAGTGGAGAAGGTTATCCATGAGTGGGGACCAGGGTTTATGGGAAATCTCTACAACTGCTGTGAACTTAATATTGCTCTAAAAAAATAGTCTATCAGAAAAAAAGCAGGTGTGTGTACATTATAAAAACACAGGGACCAGCTGGAAGGAGGTCACAATGGCCAAAAATGGGACAATTTGACCATAAAAATACCATTGGGGGGGGAATTTGTGAGTCCACACTGATAATATACAAATACATGAAGGGATAGGGAAGGCTTTTTTTTTTTTTTTTAAGATCTTATTTCTTTATTTGAGAGAGAGAAAGCACAAGAGGGGAGAGGGTCAGAAGGAGAAGCAGACTTCCCGCTGAGCAGGGAGCCCAATGTGGGACTCGATCCCGGGACTCCAGGATCATGACCTGAACTGAAGGCAGTCACTTAACCAACTGAGCCACCCAGGTGCCCCAGGGAAGGCTCTTCTTTACAAGGCCAAATGGGGAAGGAGTGCTAGCATTGGAAACGATTCATAATCAGAGTAAAGATCAAATCATGCAAGAATCACCAATGGATGCTAAGACTAGGGAGAAATTTTGATGGAGGAGTAAGATACCTGCATGGTCTTAAAAGTGCTTCCCATAGACTGCTTATTAGTTTCAAGGGAAGGGGGAGAAAAGCAATTATACAGTAGAAAAATCAGACACCACCTTGAGATGATAATCAAAATTAAATTCACCAATGAGAAATAGATGGACACTGTGTATACCTCCAAATGTGGTGGCTTGAGAAGGCCATAACGTAACTTCTACAGCAGTTTGGCTAAGAATGCATAACTTGAGGCTAATCGCATGGAGACATGACACAAACCCAAAATGAGGAATATTCTATTAGAAAAAAAGGGCTGTATTTTTTTTTCTTCTAAAGATTTTATTTACTTGAGAGAGAGAGAGCATGAATGGAGAGGAGAGGGAGAAGCAGGCTCCCCATAAACAGGGAGCCAGATGTGGGGCTCGATCCCAGGACCCTGAGATCATGACCTGAGCCGAAGGCAGACGCTCAACCATCGGAGCCACCCAGGCGACCCGGGCTGTATTTTTAACGTCAATGTCATAAAAGACCAAAAAAAGACTAGGGAAATACTCACAACTAAAAGAGGTTAGAGACCTAACTAACTAATGCAATACCTGATCTAAGGAGGCATCCTGTACAGAAAAGAAAAAAATAATGTTCTAAAGGACATTTTGGGGTCATTTAAAAATTAGAATACAAATGACAGAAAAGACAAAAATACTGTATTAATGTTAAATTGACCAAAGATAAAACTGTACTATGGTTACACAAGAAAACATCCCCAGGGGCGCCTGGCTGGCTCAGGTGGTACAGCATACAACTCTTGATCTCAGGGTCGTGAGTTCAAGCCCCACTTTGGGCACAGAGCTTACTCAAAAAGAAAAAGTCCTATTTCTTAGGAAATACACACTGAAATATTTAGAAGTAATGGGCCAAATGGTTCAGAGAAAGTGTGTATGTGCACTTGTATACACGAGGAAAATGCTAATTATATCATTCACACAGATCAAAAAGTATGGAATGCTTAACTCATAACATCACATGTGGATGAAAAGAGAAAACATACCTGAATAGGAGATGGCTTTTCCCAGCCCATTTCAAAAATTCCCATCAGTAACTCCCGTTTCAAACAATAATCTTCAAACTCATTTCCTTTTGTGGAGGTCACATCCTAGTCAAACAAAACAAATAAAACAACAAAATAATAAAGTACAACTGTGTTCCTTTGGTAGTTACTATGCTTAAGAAAGTTTGAGACTTATTCTTCCTCTACCCATTTAAAATATAAATATATGCAAATGAGTTCTCTGTCTTGGTCTATATTTCAAGTATTCCTAAGGAATAACCACTCTTTAACACACACAGGCCCACTTAAAAAATGTTTTAGGGAAAGGCCACTCTGTGGTCATATTCTTCTGAAGACTGGTTGAATACTGTTATTTCTATGTAAAGCATCATGCTGTGAATTACAAATCACAAGATGTGAAGTCAAACTGTAGCTCCACCACTCATTGCCTGCAAATATCCTATTGTAAATAATTGTGATTTCTCAGACTTAGCACTATTGACACTGGGCCAGAAAATTCTCTGTGGTAAGGGGCCATCCTGTAGCATCCCCCTCATTGAGTTTAACAAGCTGTGATAATCAAAAATGTCTCTAGCTAGTGCTAAATGCCCACTAAGGGACAAAAATCACCCCTAGTTAGGAACACTGGGCTAAGAGAACGAATTTCTCAACTTCCTTGTCCTCATCCACAAAACAAGGATAATACCTAACCTGAATCTTACTGTAATTGCTGGGAGCATAAGAGAATTTTGAGAAAATGTTTTGCAAACAATGAAAATACTCCATCAAAGTTAGATAAAATATACAGATGTATAAATACAGTATTCAATATACAGACACACGTTACTGTATTAATATAATACTCCAAACAGTGAAAAATTTTGGCAGTTCATCATATATGATCCATACAATGTCAACCACTTCAACAGAAGAGTTAAACACACAGTGCCTGTTATTAAGTAACTACTTCACTTTTAGAGTTTCCACACCATTTTTCCACTTGAATTTTACAATCAACTTACCGAAGTTTTGATTCTTAGATCCTTTGGAGGGAGTTTTAAAGTCTTTTTCCAGTCATCACCAGGTCTACAGAGAATATAGTAAAATTGAAGCATGAGAATTCTTAGCATCACTATTCTAATAATACAAAGATGATTCACCACAATTACAATTAGGTTCTAAAAAGCACAGCAAGTTTAATATATTGCCATATACTTTGGAACATAGTTAACAGAAATAAACAGCATTAGAAAAACTATTCTTACAAAAGAACAATCTAGAGGATTAAAAAAAAAAAAAATCAAGAATAGAAGGGAATAACGCATCCATCCTCTTAAGGGAAGCAGTGTAGCATATAGTGCAACTGTTGTCCAAACTGGTAACCTCTGTGTTTTGTTTGACATTAGTGTGTTTTAATTTAAATTAGTTGCCAACAGTTAAAAATGAGGAGATTTCATATAAAAGTCCAGATTCTGGCTTTTCTTGGAAATAAAAAAAAAAAAAAAAAAGGAAGCTTTAGCAAGTTCCAAACTTCTGCATATCAACAGTTTGACAGAGGTTAATAACTGGGAGCTTTTTTTTTTTTTTTTTAAAGATTTTAATTTATTTATGTGACAGAGAGAGCGAGCGAGAGCAGGAACACAAGCAGGGGCAGTGGGAGAGGGAGAAGCAGGCTTCCCGCCGAGCAGGGAGCCTGATGCGGGGCTCGTTCCCAGGACCCTGGGATCGTGACCTGAGCTGAAGGCAGACACTTAACGACTGAGCCACCCAGGCGCCCCAATAACTGGGAGCTTAAATCAAGCAGCAGACTCCTTTAGATAAAGCAAGTACCTTCCCATGTGGCACAGTCTCCTGTAAGCACCTGAGTTTCTTTTGGTGACTAATTAAAACCAAGGGCTCTAAAGTTTCAGACCCGAGGTCAGGCTCTAACTCTAACTACTTATTATTTTTGTGACTTTGCAGCAGTTACTTTTCTAAGCCTCCAATTCTCTCATCCATAAAGGGGGTTGAGAATTATATCAAATAATTTACATAAAGCACTAGGCATAGTTCCTGGCAAAATAAGAACTCAGGGGGTGCCTGAGTAGCTCAGCTGGTCAACCATCTGATTTTGGCTCTGGTTATGGTCTCAGGGTCCTGGACTGAGCCCTACATCGGGCTCTCTCCTCAGCACCACATCCCCTCAAGTAAATAAAATCTTAAAAAAAAAAGAACTCAGTATTAGCTGTTAATGACTATCTCTCAGTCTTTTTTTACTGAGAATGCTGAAACCAAATCTCTTTTTGGTCAGGTAAAAACCTCAAATAATACTCAAAGCATCTAATGGGAAAAAATGGTCAATGTCATCTTTAAAAGAAGTTTTCACTGATTTCATTACAGCGACTCTTACATAATCAGAGCCCCCAAAACATCTCAAGAGTCTTGATTTAGAAAGAGAAGCACTTACTTTACTTAAAGCTAGGTCCCATATAATTTAAGATACTCTAACACAGATAACTATTTGCTACCAATTCCATGGGTACCAAAGCCTTTCACCTCTGCCTATAATTAACACACCAAATTTCTGAGCAAAAATGTCAGTTGAACATCCTAGTATGCCAGCTTGCCATTGTCAAATTCAATATAAAGTGAATAAAAATACAGAAATACAACGGAAAATCTTACCACAAGGAATTTATAACCTTAGGAGTTAAAAGACCCAAACTATTTAAAATGAGAAAATAAGTGATAAAGATTAAGTATTAGAAGAGTTCCGAAGACAGTGATGCAATCTAGAAGCCTTCATGGAAGAGATGACAGATTAAAAAAAAAAACTGAGATTTAAAGAACCCACAGAATGAAAAAGAACCCATTAATCCCAGGCAGACCAAAAAAGAAAAAGCAAAATCCTATTGCCTGAAATCAGAATTTAAGTAGCAAATAATGAAATAACACAGCTTTATGTTTAAAAATAGCCTGAATTTTGCTAGCCTACTCATATTTTGTCAAGACAAACTACAATTTAGAGAATATTCTTGATTTCTATACTAAAGCTTTAAAATATGCAAAAAAATAACAGAATATGCATTAATACCAATTCTCACAATGACCAAACCAATTCCAATAGAAATTAATTTAGAGGTCACTAGCAAACCACATTCAAGTAACCATCTATATGTTATTCTGGTAGTTTTTAAGTGCTACTTTTCTTTAGGAAGTGCTTTTTAGGCATGGAAAAGACCTAAGTTTACTATAACACACACTTTAGGTCAGTGACCCAGAGAGAATGGGAATTCTTAGCATCACTATTCTAATGAGAGATTTCATATGAAGATTTCAAGAGAATAGATCAATCTCTATGGCTAGATTTTAACAATAAAGTCAAATGTGAAATGGGGTCAAGAATCTTCAATGTTAATTTTCTATTAACTGAATCTTTATAGTGATAGTTATCAGCAATAATTTAAAGTGTACACTTAGATGACAAACAGCATATTTACAAGAAAAAATATTCTGTAGTAAGATGAGGCTCTTAAGTTTTTAGAGTCAAAGGGACTTGGGACTATTCAGTTCCATGCATTTCCAAGAGTTCAAATCTTGAAAACCCTGATATATAACAGCTTATAATTTTGTGTGTGTAAAAGGAGAAATATATATTTTTTTTAAAGTAGAAAACTAAAGTTCCATAATCTTAAATAAAAAAAAAGTCATGGATAAATTTTCTATCAGTGAGTATGTTTGGATTCAGAAGGCTGGGCCAGTCTTTAAATTCAAAAGCTTGAAACTGGCTTTAACTGCCATTTAAACTAGAGTAAGGTACCGTTATAACACTACGGAAAAAGCCATACTGGCAAAAAAAAAAAAAAAAAAGGATGAATCTGAGCTAATTATGAAAGCCAGAAATGTTTCAAAAAGTAATGTATACAAAGATAATATATATCATCTCTGTTAATGAACCTGATTTATGACAAAAATACATTATTCAATTGCAAATACCCACCCACCATAAAACAATGTCTTTTCTTTGCAAACAAAATGGTTAAAATAAGGTTTAAAGTAGTCAACAACAAAGTAGCAAAAAGGTATCGCCTTGGTCTCACAAGTGTTTATTATTTATTCTAACACTTACTTAATAGTGGTGGTCATACTCTGTGCTTGCTGCTGAGTGCCGTTATTGATTGTGTTGGTATTTTTCAGCTGGTTCATTTGTTGCTGTGTCTGTGTGCCCCCTCCTCCGGGGCCACCACTGGGCTTCACAGGGCCCCTCAGCTGACCATTTTGACTGGATAGACCCATTATAACAGGGTTCTCTGTTCTGGCCGTGCTCATGCTGTATTAATTGTAAAGATGTCTCTTTCAAACTTCAAAACTTTTGAAAGTCAGTAGAGAAACTGTAATAACAGTTTATTAGGCTCTCCAAAACGAAGAGATAAATATAAGTCTTGCTCAATATATGAGTCCTTTATTGCAATGCAGGCAAGCACCTGTAAGTCTCTGAACGGTAAGCAGCAGTAACTTGCTCTCATGCACCGAATCAACTTTTTATTTTTTAAAAAGCCCTCTAACAAGGTTGTTATATATCTGAATTCACTCACTTCAATCTGAAACAAAGAGAAAGCTTAATTAGCAAACACAGGAGAGTAAAAAAAACTTTCCCTTTTAAAAGAACCCTTTTAGAGGAAATCACTCTATTTAAGAAATAAGAATACAGATGTACTTAGACTAAAACCCTAGCCAGGCTAGGAAGAGACACAAAAAGATGAACTGCTTCAAAAAAAAAAAACAAAAAAAACAAAAAAACCCCAAGCCAACTGAGACCAATCTCAAACATTTTAAATTGTCGGTTCAAAGTAACCCAGAGAAGATGAGGTAGAAAGATATTGTGATTAAATTAGCATTAGCTGTCAAATGGCAATCTCTTCCTTTCAGTTTCCTCCCTGATGAATTCTCTAAAAGTCCCTGCCACCTCTAAAAGTCAATGATTCATTACACTTAATTGCATTACAACTCAATGAAGTATCACACAATTTTATTAACGTAAATCTCCATATCTTGGAACAAGGCAAGACAATTTTTTTTTTCCTATTTCTGACAGCAACTGAGAATTCTTGAAATTAAGTGAGCTTTTGACTTAACTTTATGCTTTCAGGAAAAAAACCACATTTGTGCCTTTATGAATTTCAACCATGGAGGTTCAATTTTATGAAGAAAAATAAATTATTTTCTCTCTTAAATTTTGCCCCTTAAAAACAACTGAAGCAGTTAAGAGATAACACATGTCTACATGTCAAAACCTTTCGCTTGAGAAACAGTCAAGAAGATCTTTAGCTCCCTTAATAAAATCTGAATATTAAAAAACTATTAGCTACATACATTTCAGTAACTTTTCAAAAAGTGTATCCTAACTTAAAATATTTGCTGTTATTAAAAATATCTATAAAAACACAAAAAGGAAATTGCCTGTTTAAAAATCTGTGAAAGACTAAAAGACACTAGTAACTTTAACCAAGCTTTCCAAAAAACCCAGAGTACTAATAGTTGTTTTAAAAAATTGGCCAATCTCCGCCATTTTCAATTATTCCCAAAATCGAATTCTTATTTTGAAATGTAGTAAATAAAAACAATTTACAAAGGCCAGAAAATAAGGGACTACTCTTCCTCTGCTGGGTTTGTTCTTTTTCAACTCCTTTATATTTCTTACCAAAAAATACACTAGTTTATTAATGGTGATTTTTTTTCTTTTTGCCAAACACCAAGGATTCCAAAGCAATAAATCTTTTCTAAAAGACAACTGGTTATGTCTTTTTTAAAAACTGAAAATAAAGTTGCTCAGAAGCAAATCCTAATTATCACATACACAAAGCTGTATTATTTCTAAGTCTCTTAGAATATGATGTCTTACGCAGACCGTGGTTAACAGCCACCTAATTTTAGTTCAAGGTGGTAAATGGTTTCCTGTATTGACAGGTTTATATTATGATCAACAATATCACGGAGTTCACACAAGACTTGTTTGTTGCCAACCACTAAGGATGAAGAGGGTAACCTCTAAAGATTAAAAGATATCATTATTGTCCCTTGAGCTCTTAATATAAGACTTCCTATCTCCCTAGATCCAAAATGTATCTATTACTCCCTTCTTACTTGAACCGAAACCTGCACTGCAGCTTTATGTCTCAGAGAAGGAAATATTCCTCCTACCCCTTCCCAATTTAGACTTGCAAGTTACATTCTACATTTTCAAAAATACTAACGAAACGTAGACTAGTTGGGAGGAGCCCCTTGCGGAGTTAATTACAGCACTTCCCAGATTGTAGTTAGCAAGTGACAGTTTCACACCCAAAACACTATCGTCATGTCAGACAAGAGCTTTTGTTTGCAAATGCAGCGCAGTTTCTCTTAAGCTTGGTCTGCAAGTTGGAGGGACTGTTTTATTCTGAAGGGAAAAAGGGACTGTGGTAGAGAAGAGGGAGTGAGCGACGAGGTAAAGAAACAAGCCAATGATTTGAGCCCCGTAACTCTGGGGCAATAACTTCTTGCTCCCCCAATACGCCCCCCCCACCCACACACTTCTAGTCAGCCCCCTGTGACCATAAACAAAAGGGTTGGTGCCCTATAATCGCAGCTGCGCCACAAGAGCAGGGAACCAACTCCGCGGGCAGGAAACAATAGGGACTCCCCCTATGAGGCCCCAAAGAAAAACCCTTAAGTCAGAAAGCCCCCCCTTTTCCTTCACGACTCGGGGGCTCCATAATCACCCTCTTGTTACCGACCTACGAGGCCTTATTCCAAGCAAGCAGCAGCGGGTCCTCTTCCAAAACGAGCCCTCCGACACTGCAAATCCCTGCCGCCCCCTATAGGGCCGCCTCGTACCCTATAACCTCCACCATCCCCCTAAGTCCTTGCCGCCTCTGTGGTCCCACATCCCCTCGTCTTCCACTAAGCTCCTCTGAGTACTTCGCCCGCTCCTTCTCCGGACCCCTCCGCGCACGACATTCCCAGATTCGACTCTTCTCAGGCGCCCCCACCTCACACGGCTGCCGCCCGCCGCCCGCCTTCCTCCCAGGGGCCCGGCCAGGCCTCAGGCCTCCGCCTCAAAGCACCCCCCCCCCCGCGGGCCGAGGGGCTGCCCGCGGCCCCGACCGCACCGCTGACCTCGACCCCACCACCTCACCCCACTCCCCGCGGCTGGGGCCCGAGTCCTACCACCGAGGCCACTCCCGCTCGGCACCCTCGGTCCTTTATTGTTGACTCGAAGCTCCCAAAATGGCGGCGGCTCCTTCCTCCTCGGAAACCTCCGCCCGCCCCCACCCGGCCCCTCGCTTCTGCCTCCTCCTCCCGCCCCCGCCCCGCTCCGGGGGCCGCACCGCAGGGCCGCCCGCGCCCGCCGGCTCTCCTGGCCGCCCGGCCCTACCTCCGCCGCTGCCCGCTCTCATGGCGCCGCCGGAGTCGCCGCCCGGGCTGAGCTAACTCGGCTGCTCTGCCCCTCCCCCGCTCGCCCGCCGCCCCCTCCCCCCCCTCTCCCCCTCCCCCTGCCTGTCCGCATGGCGGCGGCCGCGGCTCCTCCTCCACCCAAGATGGCGGGAGCTCCGCCGCGGCCGTCGCCGCGCTGTCACGGTTTCACCGGCTTCGCGGCCGGAGGAATGTGGGTCGGGGAGCCTCCCTGAGGAGAAAATGGACGGCCGTGCTCTCACACCGACCGGGGGCCCCGGTGACGGAGACTTGAAGGGGAAATACGGGTTCCTTTCTGAGTGGGAAGGAGGGCTAGCTTTTTCACAGCCGAGGAGAAATGAGTGGGGAATGGTGGCCGGGAAGAGTCCGCCCTGCCTTCGCCCCCCGCAAGTGGAAAGCGGGGGTTGTGACCAGAGGAGGAGCTGCTTGTTCCCGAGCAAGGACGCGTTCCGAGAACGAGGCGTCCGAGTCGCGGCTCGGGGACGAGAGAGCTGACCTGACGTCCCCCGCGGGCCGCGGAGGCTGCTGCAGGCCCGGGGGACGGGGAGGCGGCGCGGACGAGCCCCGCCGGGTGCGCCTCCGTCCGGGAACGCGCCGAACTAGTGGTCCGGAGGCGCCGGCGCGCGCCCGGGAGTGGGGGCCGGAAGGGGGGCAACGGCCCGGGACGGGGGGGCGCGGGGCCCCGGGACTGCGACCTTCCCGGCCCCGGAGGGCCGGCCTCCCAGACGCGGCGGGGGGAGCCGGCCTCCTCGACAGGAAGGGAAAGCTGCTGAGGAGTCACTTCTCCTGGAAATAGGAACCAGAAGGCGGCCGAGAGCGATTCTTTCCCCGGCCTGACTCTCACTAGAAAGCTACTTCTGTATATCTGTATCTGTCCCCATAAGTACTTGTCATGTCCTAATGTCTCCGCTCATCCTTAACAGAAATATCGGGAGCGCTATTTGGTCCCAAGTAAAACAAAAAATGTGACGCTAGGAAGCTGGCCCGGTAGAGGGAAAAGAAAAACCTGGGTCTCACCCAGCTGAGAGATGGACTGCATAGGACAATGGCCAGACCGTGTGTGACAACACAACTCCGACCCCCACCCTCTGCAGCAACCGGCCCGGGTCGGCCCAGAATGAGCGGCACTCTGGTCATTGACTGCCAGCTTCCCCAATTTTTGCCCCTGCTTCTAACTCGGGGCCAATCAGAGAAAGCCAAATATGTTCCCCAAACCAATCCCATCACACGCCCCGCTTCTAGTTAGCCTGCCTCCTGTTTCCTCATGCCCACAACCTCCAATCAAAGCGTGCCGTGGAGTCTCCACCAAACTAAATGAAGGTGGCCTGCTCCCATGCTTAGCAAGCTCTGGATAAATAGCCTGTTCTCGTTTGGTCGTCTTTGTTTATTTCCACACAGCCAATGGAAAGGTGGTAGAGAAGTGTGAAAAGCCTGTTCCTGAGATTATGAAGAAGGTTCCCCTTACAATTTTTTAAATTCTAAATTTGTAGCATGTCATCTCCCAGATTTTTTTACACCACCACTCACGTAAGGGACTAACCCTGCACCTTGTGCCCATCCTAGAGAGAGGATGGGTAAGTTGTTAATAAAATGTTAAAATGTGAGGCCTTGTTTGCCTCACTGTCTTTCCAAGTAGCGGGAATGTAAGGGGAAGGAGGGTAGGAAGTAAGTGGGAGGGAGAGGAGCCCAAGGATTTAAAACGGGCCACTGCCTGGTGATGGGTTTCTTTGCCTAGGCCACTCAAGGAATGAGACTAGGCAGAGGAAAGGGGTTTGCGTTCACAAATAAGTGAATACCTTCAAAAGGGGCCTGGTTGAGTCATGACCAAAAGCAAAAGTGAAGCAGGAATATGAAATAGAGGTCCCCATTCTCACCTAGGAATCCTGCCAGGGCTAAAACCTTTAATGATCCTGCATAATGTTCTTGCAAGACACTCAGATATCCTTACAACTTAGCTCTTTGCAGTTTCTGGTGAGAAGCATAGATGGTGCAGGATTAAGCTATGAATCATCAGATCTTTCTTCTGGGTTCAATTTCAATGGTTGGTAGGTCCAATCCCAGTATCTCAATACATGTTTTTTCTTCTTGGTTCAAGAAGATTAATGAGAATCATAGAAAATATGACACTTTAGGAATACAGATGAATTATTTGATAATGTACACAGTATCTTTATGAATTATATTTAAAAATATCACACAGGGGCGCCGACTCTTGATTTTGGCTTAGGTCGTGATCTCAGAGTTGTGAGATGGAGCCCTGCATTGGGCTCTGTGCTGGGTGTGGAGCCTGCTTAGGATTCTCCCTCTCCCTCTGCCCCCCTCCCCACCGCCTGCTCTGCGCCCCCCTCTAAAAAAAAAAAAAATCACATGATTCCTATCCTTTGGCTTTTTAGCTAATATTGAATATAATAGTTTGGGTGATCTGTGGTAAATAAGGCTTCTGGAAGCTGTGTTGTCCCCTGAGGTCACCTATTAATTGTAGTAAAGTGCTTCCCAAGATATATTGGTCATTTCCATTTTGTTTTTGTCACCCGCTCTTCCCTGATTCCCTACTTACTGGGTTTTGAACTATGAAGCTGTTAGCTAACCTGTTAGGCCTGCATTGCTGGCTGGCTCCTAGAGAACTGGTCTGTAGGAAAGATATTTTTAAAAAGAAAAAAGAATCATACATAGAATTGAGGTTTTCACTATCTCTGTTTAAAATACAACAGAATTCTTGGGATGCCTGGGTGGCTCAGTCAGTTAAGCATCTGCCTTCGGCTCAGGTCATGATTCCGAGGTCCTGGGATCGAGCCCCACATCGGGCTCCCTGGTCCGCGGGGAGCCTGCTTCTCCCTCTCCCTCTCCCACTCCCCCTGCTTGTGTTCCCTCTCTCGCTGTGTCGCTCTCTGTCAAATAAATGAATAAAATCTTTAAAAAAAATAAAAAGAAATTAATAAAATACAACAGAATTCTTTTTTTTTTTTTTTTGTAAGTCATGACCTGCGACTAGAAAATGCTACTTGGAATTTGATCACAATAATGGGTCCTCCCAGCAAATATTGTTTGCCAGTCTCATGTCCTGTCCTCATTTACTTACCTAAAAATAACTAGAGGGAAAAAAAACACAGGTTAATTTATACTTGATTTCATTTAAACTGCAGTTTAAAATATTTAGAATCTAGAATTCCAAGTAATTTCAACCTGGAATATATACATCTGTGATACTATCTTAAAAACCCCAAATGTTTTCAACATGCTAAAATGGATTTCACGCTTTTAGCTTTCTATGAGTTGTTTTTTTTTAAGGAAACATGATAGTTGGGTTTTTTAAAATTCAAACTACTTCATTACTTAGAATAAAAAAGATTTGCCCATACCATATCCTCAATAACATGATTATATCACACCTGCCTGAGCTTTACAGTACAGCATTTCTCTCTCTCATGGTTTGCAGGATAATATTTTGATTTTCCAAAAGAAGGTTCAACAGATAAAGTTCTTCTCCAAATATGCTCAAAGCAACATCTGGTAGTTGCTAACCCAGACTAAAGGCTAATGAGCCCAAGATGCTAAGTACCATTTTCTTTGGACCCATTGCAGGTAAAAATTGCCGCTTTAATTTATACACCTGAAGAAAATGAAGCAGCATCAGCCTACTGAGGGCTAAGCAAAGCGATCCTCAGAGAGGTACAAGTACTACACAGAAGTTAATGCATACTAAGCAGATGTCTTTAATCACTGAGAGACCACACCAGGCACATTTTGTTGGAATAAATGTTCCAGTTCCAGAATAAACTTAAGTTGAAAAGTAGGAAAGCAATATTACAAACAGAGAGGGAAGTGGGTGGGCTAAACACATTTCCCCCAAACCGCCAGCTTTAGCTGCAGAATTTACATTCCCTTTGATAGAAAAAAATGTCTCCATTCCTAGGGTACTGCCACCAGCTAGCTCAGCTCTCCAGGTTTCTTTTGGTCTCATTAGGTTCCAGCATTGTTCTGGTCATCACCCAGAGAATCCTAGCTATTCATTTTGCCTCTTCAGTTCTCCTAAAATTACGGTGCCCCAACAATTTTAACTTATTAATTTGAAAATAACGTGTGGCTAGGAAGACACTGAAATCTGAAGACCAGTTCTTTAGGTATAAATGTAATTTGGTCTACTCAGATCAAGAAAGAACTTCCACCATTCCATCTATGATGCCTTGGTCCCTTTGGGTGCTTTCTGAATTAGTTCAGGGCTGGTTGCTGACAGGTAATACTGATGGGGATCCATAGCAAACTTGTGGACTTGTCATGGTATTGGTATGTGTACTATGTCTCCCTGGTACCCAGGACCTTGTAACAAAATTGTTTCTGAATAACCTTCTCTCTCTCTTTTTAAAATTTGTCTATTTATTTTAGAGTTAGAGCTTGCACGTGTGGGAGTGGGAAGGGCAGAGGGACAGAATCCTCAAGCCGACTCCCTGCTGAGCGCAGAGCCCAATACGGGCTTGATTCCATGACCTATGAGATCATGAACTGTGCCAGATGCCCAACTGACTGCACCACCCAGGTGCCCCTGAATAACCTTTTCTTGCAGGGGTAGCAACAATCATGACAAGTGTCCCGCCCTGATTTCCTGCCACTAGTCAATTTGCAGGACTTTTTATTGGTCTTTGAAAATAGACTGTGATCTTCGGTATGAGCTCTGGGAAGGTACCTTATAGCTAAAGAGTGGGCAGTCTCTTCAGTTCTGAGTGCCAACGTTGGATTAAGTACCATCTGTGGCTACCAGAACGAGACAGGGAACATGGGGAGAAAACAGTATTTCAGTGTGGCGATCTCCCCAGTGAACTTCTAGTCCTTTATCTGCTTGATGGAGTTTAAACATTACTCTTTATCATGTCAAGCACCCCCTACATAACCCTTTAATGTCTCCTGGTTTCTTTTTCCACCTGGAGTCTGTACTCCATTGACAGATTGGGACTGCCAATGTGCCCACCCAATTTGATTTCCCACTCTTCCGCCAATACATTTGGGGCTCTGGTCTCTTGATGGGAGACCCATCCCCTCACCTTCCATTGTTTCCCTTGAGAAACTCTCTCATTTTCTTTCATCTGGGCCTATCTAAATCCCATTCAAAACCCAGTAGATTGCCACAAGCTC